TCATGGGGGGGGGGGGAAGCAATAACCTTGATCACCAAATCGAGGGCTGAGACCTCTGTAATCAGGTGGAATTTACTCAGGCACGTGTTGGCTAGAGGAGAGGCTGCAAGCCAGGTAGGACGTGCCCTCTGTTCAGGAAGGTTTTGCGTTATAGCGGAGAGGGGCAGCACACTGTGGCCGTGAGAAGGAGTCACGCTATACCCAGCCCTGGGTGTATCTGACTCGCTGAGAAGCCATTATTTGCTGCAGACGCTCAGGTTTCTTTCAAAATGCAAAGTGTCCAGACCTGATGCATGCAGAGCGAGCCTTACAAATGTAACCTGAGGGTAAATGGTGCAGCAGTGACAGCCTCTATCAGCTCCTCCCACCCCACTGTACAAATTGTACCGGCCTGAAATGAGAGCTGCTGCATGCTGGGCAACACATGTTAACTCTGAAACCTACTGATACCACACTCACAAACAACTGTGTCCATTGCTGTTCATTTTAACATCAGAATACAATGCACCTAACCTCCGTTTAGACTGGAAAAGTCGGCATCGCTTATTTTTTCTGCTTGTATAGTCCTAACAGAGTGGGATCTCTGGGTGCTACCACAACAAATATTTGGTTCTTCTACAATCCCCAGCTGCAACCCACCCAAGGTACCAGAAGCTCCCGCTTTCCCAATGGCTCCCTTCTCCCGTCACTGTCTAGCTACATCCCCAGTGTGGAAAACCTCTACAGTACCACAGTGAAATCAGCTTAGTTTTCCCCTGCATCCGGCTGCAAGGGCCCAGAGCTCCTACCTACCTAGCCACGCTCACAGGCAAGTGCTTCAGAAAAACTTAAAGGACCCTAGCGTAAGGTGGAGAAGTCTGTAACAAGTGAGTAATAAGTCTGCTGTAACAGCTCGCCGCATAAGGGGACCGAGCCCAGCTTGGCACTGATCCGCTGCGAAGCTGCCAAGTCTGAAGGCAGGAAGGAAGGAAGGAAAGAGAGACCAGACAGCAAAGCACTGAAAAGACCAAGACTAGCAAAACGTGAGACTCTGTAGAGCCTCAGCAGAGAATGGCTTGCTCAGATAGCTCCCGCAGGGAGACTGCTTCCCCGTTAGCACCTTGCAGTCCCTTTAGGCATCTGCAGCTCTCTGATGGAGCAGGGCTGGTCCCTTTGGGACACGCAAGTATCACTCCCTAGCCGACCAGAGGGGGGCGGTGCCAGGTGATGCAAGAGACACCGGTTGAGACTCTGTAGAGCCTCAGCAGAGAATGGCTTGCTCAGATAGCTCCCGCAGGGAGACTGCTTCCCCGTTAGCACCTTGCAGTCCCTTTAGGCATCTGCAGCTCTCTGATGGAGCAGGGCTGGTCCCTTTGGGACACGCAAGTATCACTCCCTAGCCGACCAGAGGGGGGCGGTGCCAGGTGATGCAAGAGACACCGGTTCGAACAGCAAAGCCCCCTGGCACAAGCATGCAAATGATACCCTCTGCCGGCAGAACCCATTCCCCTCGCGCCGGCAGGAGGCGCAGCATGGAGGAAACCCACTACCACATCTCATTATGGAGCAGCGCGGCGTGGGGGCAGCAGCCCTCAGCCCACAAGTCCTGGCTTCTAGTAGGGATGCAAAATCCTGGGTAATGTGTTAACCGGTTACATGATCGGTTTAATCAGTTAGGCCCCTGCTGCAGCACTGGCCCACCTGGGCTGGAGCAGCCCCCTGACCCTGGCATACCACAGGCAGGGGATGCTCCAACCGGGCCTGGGCACTGGTTAACTGGTTACCCTGGTAACCGGTTAACCCTTTGCAGCCCTAGCTTCTACAGGCCCCCAGCGCTGACACTGCCATGCAGCCATTGGAGAGGCCGCAGCTGCAGAGAGGAGACTTGAGTGCAAGGGACCCGTGGCCCATTTCGGGGGGTCGGCGAGTGTTTGGGAGAAGGGAATAGCTTATGCGTCCTAGCCAACGTGCTGCGTCCTGTCCCTCAACAGGCAAGAGCCACAGCTGGGCAGGGACCAGTTGCCACGCTCGTTGGCACGCTGAGTCTGTAGCCATCTCCCTGTTTCGCCAAGGAAGTTGAGAGTCTGAAACAGGTTTTATGGCAAAATCCATTCTCCAAAGCAGGTGGCTTACTGGTCAGAGCAGCCATGTCAGAGCCAGGGCATCTGCTGTGGAGTCCTGACTGCTATTGGCTTGCTGGCCTTGAACGTACCCCTCTCTGCACCCCTGCTCCCCCACCTGCACAATGAGGGCAACTCCAGCCTCACAGCGCAAGAGGCTTCATAGCTCACCAGGCACTTTGATACCCTGGGGCAAAGCAGGCCTAAGGGCAAATGCAGTTTGGTTCTTTTAAGAGCCCAGGTCCCCACCAGCAAGTTCACAAGACACAAACAAGAAACCGCAAAGATATATGGTCATGGAATAAAACAAGAGGCAAGTAAGAGAAAGGCGTCGCAGAGGAACAAGGCAGCCCTCCCTAGGGTATGGGATGACAGCCCCCCCGGGGAAAAGATCTGTAAGTATTAGCAGCCAGTCAATATGAGATGGTAGAAACGTGCATCAAGAGATCCCAGAAATGTCTTTTATGTTCTGCAGTGTTAGCAAAACAACTCCCGCTGCCGGACTTGGTTAGCGAGTGCATTCATTACCGGAGTTAAACATTAATCGCTAATTATTTCATGTCCTTAAAAAGAGCTAAAACATAGATTCTATTTTTGAAAAAATAGCCTCCAGCAATGTATCACTAATTGTACAATCGCTTCTTTACACAGCCCCTGTGGCCAGCAGAGGAAATCCACTTTGCATTCCGCCCCGCCGACTTCCCCATGCCCTCTCCCCCACCCTAGCTATCTCTGGCATTAGTGAGTATGGAGGAATTGCTCACTTCCAGCCACTGACTTCCAAATGAAGTCATTTGCTGTCAGGTATGTGTGAGGAGCACACAGCTCTCCACGGATCGTGTTGACTTGGCCTCCCACTGAAAGGCAGCGTGAGCGGGTTGTCTAACCC